CATTATTGTTTAGACTAGAATCTAAGGAAGAGAATGAGACTAAATTCAAAGTTCTGCGTGGAACGATGCCGGAGAAAAAAGCCTCTGAAGAGACCCATCGAAATCGTGACCTTTGACCCTACTTTCTTACACACCGGTGACCTTAGAGTCTCGAAAAGTGGCTCTTGGGCCCTCCTTCGAGGTCCCTAACAATAATTATAGAGCGGAATTTTGATCCAGAGGGGTCAATTTTTATCTTTTATATGTACCTTAAGTGTGCTGGGAAGAAGTTGTGGTGGTGGCTATCACCGCAACGCGCGAGGCCTACGGGACTAGATCATTTTAGGCCATACGCTAGACCATCCACCGCTCAAAGCGCCAGGTCCATGGGGCTATGCTATACTAGGCCAAAGGCTTGGCCATCCAACGCACTTATAGCCCGATGGACCTGGCGCTTCAGTGTGAGCCATAGACTTTGGCTCATCCTATTATTTCCATAGGCTTCATACTTAGTAGCACCCTTTGCTTGACACAGCTAACCGAATGCGTGTCACGTTCTCACTGATCGACTGCAAGTTCATTTGAATACATTCTGTGCTGAGGAGTTTTCTTTCTGTATTTATTTTTTTCCGTTAGGTCAGATGTGGCGGTTTGCGCCATCGCTTCCATGCAATTGTTTTCTGTTTGCGTTCCATGTCATGGCCGATTTATTTGAGTTGTTATGATTGATGAAGTCAAAATAATAGTCTAAAAAAAAGCTCTGCTTCATATGTCGCGCAAACCAGGTGCACCTCCCATCAAAATGGTGGCAATTTTTGTGAGGTGAGGTTGAACGCGAAGAATAAACGTTGAAGGTCACACATGACAGCGATGAGGCAGTTGTTGCTGGTAAAAAACGGTTGGTGCTGACGCGTAAACAACGTTTGCCACTGCAGTTGCGGTGCGAAGTGCCTAAATCAGTGCTAGCCGTAATGGCTAGAATCAGTGATGAACAGCAAGCAGATGTGCGTAGGGCCGCTGAACAGCAAGAGGCAGCGAATGCTGAGCTCCAGAATAAGAGAGCCGTGCAGCCTGCTGAGCAACTTGATGCAAGGAACGCAGCACTCAGGTGTCGAAAGCCGGGGGGCGGCCGAGAATTGAACCCGGTCCTCCTGTTTGCCGGTCAGGTGTGCTCCCATTACACCACGGAATTCGGAACATTTTGTCAGGTCTCTCCATGTCATCACAAATCACTACAGTCGTTTCCGCAGCGAGCACTGTCAGGCTGTACATTTTGATGTAGGGAGGAGGCATTTGTTTCACAACGGAAAAATGCTCCTTCTGCAACTCACACTTTAGCAACAGTGAGCAACACTTTCAGAGCCTCAGGGTAATGTGGTGGCGAGGCATTTTCTGGAATTACTCGCTAGCATTGTGCCGCACATGTACTAAATTCCCTTTGTGCCTTCGAACAAGTTCTTGGAAATGGTCAGTACTATTTCAGAATCATTGGTGTCTGTATTATATGCTAACGCTAATAGCACAAGAGCTAATCGGTGATGCAAGAGTATTGAATGTGCTAAGGAGACGAAATCAGCAAAGTCGTCGAGTCTCATGAAAACGTGCTAAACCGTTCACAATGAACGATTGTGGCAATCAGCTGAAATATCATGATGATGGTGTTTAGGAACAGAATCTCCCTTTGTACTGTAAGCTATAAGTGTATACATGTAATGAAGCGGTTCAGTTCCGAATGGGTAATGAGGTGAACAGAGGATTGTCAAGGAGACGTTATAATTATTAATTATACAATAGACGGTTCAAATTTCCACTTTTAGACGGCCAGCGTAGCGGCCGCAGGCCACTAGTAGCTAAAAAATTGCTAGGTTCTGTATGCAAGAACAATTAATAGGGATCCATCGTGAGGCCCATTTTGATAGGTATCTTCATACCTATTACATATTCGTGAGTCTTCCTGTTAACAACCTCTTATCCATCGTCGTATGCCCACCAACAATGCCATGTGTTTCTGTTCGCACTATGACTGACCAGAGTGTTGTGTGATGATATAACGGTATTAATCTGACCCCTTTTACCAGATTAGTGCTTGAATTCCGATTGCCATGGCTCGATACAAAAACCAAGAGATTTAATTATCCCAGAGTAGCTGTGCTCGGCACAAGTTGCGACGGTTCTTCGGGTTAGCTGCATCCACCCTCGTAGCTCGTTATAAGTAGAATAGACAAGTTCTGGATCAAAATAGTTTGAAGAGATTTTTATACCTATCATGATAGGTGAAAAATGTTTCTGCATATGGCCAACCTGTCAAACTTATCATATGATACATCAATTTTACTCGTTCTTGCATGCCAGCCATCGACGAGTGCCTAAACGGCTAGTATCAATGTTTGCATAGTGCAAGGTTTTAGAAAGTAGCTTTGGTAAGATCGGATATGCACAATACTCGGTCTTCGTGTCATTTGAATCCTTTAATCCGGGGGTCCTTCAGTTACTGTTTGCATGGGTTTTCTTGTTCGTGTTCCGTAGGGGAGAAGGGTAGCCGCTGTCTCGAGTCTCTACATTTGTCATGTTCCCTTTCCTTTGTATTGAACATTTGACATCTAGCCCTCCTTGACTTAGTAATAGTCATATCAGGAGGGAAACAGAATAATGTATACAGGGTGTTCGTATTTAAACGCAACATAGGAACAAATTTGGCCGCCTGTTTGTGGAGTTCAGAACGTACCTTATAGCTCACTGGGTTGCGTATCTGGAAGGATGAAACCTAACCCTGGTGTGTTTCCTCGCAGATATGCAACCCGTTGGGCATTATAGCGTTCGCCGAACTCCACCTACAGGCGGCAAAATATTCCCTATGTTGCGTTTAAATACGAACACTGTATATTCCATTGGATTTTGAGCTGAAGCAGATTGAAACGCCTCGGACGACGAGGAATGGCATTTCATTTTGCCACACGAACTCAACTTTTTTTTCCAAAATTTTTTAGCTGTTCGAAAAAGCTGGATTCTTGAGATCTTCGTGTTTGTTGGAATTTATAGTGGAGTAAGCCGAGAATCACGCAACGGTATGTATCACGGTATGTGGAGCTTATTTTTTGTTAGCTTCAAGATGAAGCAATATTCAAGTAAAACCAATTATGTCAGAACGAGGGAAGAGCAAGGTTGTGACTGAATACTCACGGACCGAAGTGCCTGGAGATATGTTGCCTGGCCTTCTTTGGTACCTGCTGGGAGTACTAACCCGTCATTTCGATACGTAGCAGGCTCTGTTTGGCTGTTGAAGCTACCATTTCACTTTGCTCCTATTTCCCCTTTATCGTGGCCTTCCATTTGTAGAAAATTATACTTAATTTCTCATGATATATCCTGATAGCACCATATAGCGTAAGCAGGGTTTGGTCGTCATTCCTAATATGAGATGGATGAAAAGAAACTGTTTACGATAGCACATCTCATCCAACTCTCCAATAGTACTGTAATGCTGGGGGCATTAACCCGTGGGGTTAATGCCCCCAGGCAGGCCCGTGTGGGTTAGTTCTGATACCCCATACCTTTTTTTCCGCGTGCTTCATTTCCTGCAAGATCCTCAAAAATGCAGGGTGTCCATAAAAAAACTTACACTTTGGAGCCCTGCTCGAGACAAACTCTGATGAATTTTGTCAATAAGTTCGAGGAGACGGGTTGTTGTGTTTGCAACAAGCCACATGGAGGCAGGCCGTGAACCCCTGTAGATGTCACTGAAATCAGAGGTGCGATTGACGAAGAGCCTGGCGCAAGTGCACATGGAACGAGCAGCAGTCGTGCTGTCGCCCGCCTTCTGGATCTTCCCCATTCAACCGTGCCAAAGTTCTAAGGTAAACTCTACAAATGTTTCCGTACAAGCTGAAACGTATCCAAACGTTTTTTCGTTCCATGTGCACTTGTGCTAGGCTCTTCGTCAATCACACCCCTGATTCCAGCGACAGCATCAACAAGGGTTCACGGCCTGCATCCATGTGGCTTGTTGCAAACACAACCCGTCTCCTTGAACTTATTGACCAAATTCATCAGAGCTTGTCTCGAGCAGGACCCCAAACGCAGGCTGTGCGCTCCGCGGTATTTTCGTAAGGCAACAACAGCATTACACTTGTTGGTGTAGAAAAGCTTTATTAGTTCGTCTCTCTGCTTCTTAGTCAAAGTCATGACTTTTCTATCTAGACCGAAAATTATTACATACTTTCAGTAGTGGTTCAATACTGCCAAGAGTGCAAATATGGGCAAAAAAAGATTTTTTGTGAAAAGTTTTGCAAAACAGTTTCAAATAAAATCCTAATGACCCCCTGAGTATCCTCCTAAAATTTCCCTGTCCTATGCTTTACCGTTCCGGAGATAACGAACTTCAAAAGTGCGCGGTTTTTTATGGACACCCTGTATATCAATGGACACTACAAAAATATTGCGGTCAGAAGTTTGAAACTCTGAAATAAACTGGGGTAGTTTAGATACCCTGTACGGGCTCCGGAAGGTGCTGAATAGCACGGACCCGAGATGGTTAATTCCTGTTTCCCTAACACCGGTGTGGAATTTCAGCTTTCCATCTGATGTCATTAATGGTTTTATAATAACTTTTGGTTGAGCCAAAGAATTAAATTTTTCTAATTTTTCAAAAGAAGAACGAAGGGTTCTCTCTCGATATTGTTGCACTCAACTGCGAACTGTGATTGCTGGATGGCTCCAGATTTCTTCAAAATGTTTATGATTGTTAGCAGCATTATCGCTCTTATAGGTAATTTAAAAAAAACTTAATTACACGACTTTATTCCTATTTTGAAAACTTACACATTTATTAATTTCATTTATTTAAAAAAATATTTTGTTTAATCAACCAGCTCCTTGATTCAACCAACCGTGTGCCTGTAAAAAATTTAAATGACAGATACGAAATAAGAGCTGAAATTTCATGCAGGTGTGAAAGAAACGTAACTAACAACGGTACTCAATTCTATAACCCCACTTCAGGAAAGATGAGGAAGCTTTGCCGCAGCGATATATACTTTGGGGATGCACCTCTTATATTTTCCTTTTCTCAAGCATCATTCGACAGTGCAGCATGACCTGTTGTTCCTGTCTAAACCATCGCCCCAAGTGATGATTTAGACAGGAACTCTTCAATACATGGAACAACAATCCAAGCGATGACAGTGCATCATGGAAGTCCTTTGCATGGTCTCATTCTTATATAGTGATCAGTGTCGCACTAAAGGCTGCATACTGCCATTATAACATGCTTACATCATGTTTCTACTCTGTTTTGCTCCCTTAGTAAAAATAATAATAATTCTGCATTTCAGAATCAACAAGACCACCCAGAACTTCGAGATAACTACAGTTTCTACACAAATCAGATTCCATGTCGTCCAGAAGGGATGTTTGTGGATGAACTCCTGGCATCTCTGACTGCTAATCCACGTGATTGGGATACAAGTCATGGCTTCATCACCTGGCTGTTCCCCACTCGAGAAATTGGTTTCAACCTTGAAGCTCAGCCATTACAACTGCATGAAGCACAGGTATGTTCCTAGTGCGTGGTGATATTTGTACGTCATCTGAATGAAAAGACCAACATTCAGAGTACTCGGACCTGAGCCAATGTTCTAGGCCGGCAGTTTAGAATAATTTAATTTTGGAATAAGTAACTGAAGCCCGATCATGAAGAACCTTAGGCAAACAGAAGCGTATCAGCACCCTAAATTTGGAGGGGAAAGCAGGAACCAGTGCAGACTTGAACAATCCTTTTTCAAAGTGGTTTTTCTCATCAATTTCTTTGAGTAATTAGAGCAAACTAATGTATACCACGTGTAGTTAGGGTCAGAGTGGTCCGAGACCAAAAAATAACTAAACACGTTAAGCGGGTATGACATACTACGTATGTACAAGGCGTGATCAAAAAGTTCCGAGACTGAATTTTTTGTGAAGCTGTGGAGACTTTCCGGCTATTGATGGCTATATCCTTTAAAAAGTTGTCCTCTTCGGCATCTACATAAAATTTTCGGTGTTTATTCATTCGCTGGAAATATTGCTGACACTTGTCTTTTGGAATCACCAGCAGCGCTCGTGGCGCGTTCGTAACGCTGCTTTAAATGCCCTTAAATTTCCTTCTTTTTTGTAGTTTCAGCGGTTTCTGACCTGCTTCCCCGTGCTTCATCAGCCATCCAACTCGCCGGACTTAGCTCTTAGTTTATTTTTGTTTCCTAAGCTAAAGAATGTCCTGAAATGAAGAAGATATCAAGCATTCAGAGCAAAATTGTAAATAGTGAAGTAGTGTGTGAAGTGGATATACATAGTGAAGGGACTATAAAGAAAGAGAAAATGAAGCAGGGGTTTTCAGTGGCGTCGCCCTTTTCTTCCATTCTTTGGGAATTTGACAAATTTTCTCTTCATTGCCTTATCTCAGCACCTTGAACCCTTGCTCGATTTTTTTTCACGCCTTTAGGAGAATTTCAGGAAAGTTTCATTGATAAAAGCCTTCTTTGGGACCGTTTCAGGCGATTAGTATGATCCTATGGTCAATATTGGTATTGCAGTGTTTAGCCAGTTTTCTCCGTGAATAATCATCCCACACCGTTGAAACTCTATTGATTATATTATACTTGTTTGCCAAATTTCATCAGGATCAGTCATGTCCTTCGTGGTCGTGTTCTTTTTGGCGACGAGTATAAATGTAAACTTTGTGGATTCCACCTTGTTCAGAAAATTACACACTTGACGGGTTAAACGGTCTCATCCGGGAAAGGATTCAGGACAATAAATCCAGTACTTCCCAAGTAGCTCATCCCAAGTAGTTCATCCTACGTATACTCCATTCACTGTTTGCATGCGTAGGCAGCAAGAACCTACGATCGCCCATGTTCAGGAAAACTGCATAATTATCTCCATGATCTGGACAGATATGTCTGCTAAACAGGAAAAGGGATTAGAGTCAGACCGAGGTAGTCAGAGCAAGGAGAATATATGATGAATTCCTCATTCTGTGTTCAAAGCCTCGTTTCATTGAAATATAAGATAAGGTATTGAAAAATAATAGAAAAGAGGAACCTGCTGAAGCTGTTCAAAGCGGAAGTTTGCCTTAACTAGATTTGCGGAAGATTTTTCCTATGTGGAAGTCGTCATTGTAACTATACAAGTTCCTCACAGCAGAGGTGCTTTGAGAGTTTATAGACACATCCACTGTGACGTGGCACCAAGGACCAGTAATATCAGGTCATCCCATAAGTAAAGTAGTTTTTTTCTCTGTTTTTCAAAACTATAATACACCTGCATCGCATCAAGTTTCAATCAAGTATATATTCCCCTTCGTTCTCTATGACTCTCTGCCACCTTTCTGCAAGCATTTCAATTCCATGTTTATAAAATTCCTTGGGCGTTGAAGCAAAAAATGCGGACAGGTCACTTTTGATACCCTCCAAAATTCTTTTCCGTTGAGATAGTTTTGTAGACTTCTGAATAGGTGGTAATCTGAGGGTGCAATGTCTGGTGAATATGGCAGAAGTGGAATTTTTTCCCAACCCAGCTCTTCGATTTTGACACACATGATCCGAGCGGTATGAGGACGCGTGTTGTCCTGATGAAACAATACACCCTTGCGATTGGCCAATGAAGGACGTTTTTCCTGCAATGCAGCGCTCAAACTTTGAAGCTGCCGGCAGTATACCTCCGCTGTTATGGTTTCATTGGGCTGCAACAGTTCAAAATAAACAACGCCAATAATATCCCACCAAACGCACCTAAAACCGATTGCTAGCCCTTGAAATTGCTGAAAAGGATGAATGAATGGGAAACAAGTTTCAGCTCTCGCCGATCATTCCTACTCCCTCAGGGCAGAAACTTTTGGATCGCCCCTCGTATTTAGAGCAAGTTCTTCAACAGTTACAGCAGGATCTTCATCGAGTGTAGCCACCAGCAGTTCATCATCAAACTCAATAGGTCGGCCTGAACGTGCATCATCAGTTAAGCTGTAGTCACCAGACCTGAACTTCTGGAACCACCTTTGGCATTTCCTCGTGTTCAGAGCTTCCTCACCATAAACATCTTGAATGTTTTTCGTGGCTGCAGTCGCGTTATTCCCTTTCTTAAATTCATAAAGCATTATATGCCTAATGTGTTCTTCTGACACCTCCATCTTGTCTTTAGTGTCCAAGAAAAATGGAGCACTGTTACTTCGTGAAAACCTGCACATATATTGACGACTAACCCCTGCACAAGTTAGCATAGAAATATTCCATGGGATGTTCGCAGATACATGTATAAAGAAGACACAAGTGAGGCTATGCCAGAAAAACGACATTACTTATGGGATGACCTGATATAAGAGGACTGGACACTCCTCTGGAAATCGTGTATCAGCAGTCATCCACTCTGTGCAGGCAGCGAACCTGGTGGCCGCTGAGGAAAACTACATTTGTCTGCCGCTGTCTTCCAGGGCGAAGCATGGCGGACGCCGGTGTTCCGGTATTACGCCGGTATTAGTTGTAATAATTCCGACGGAAATTCGGGAGGGAAACACGTCTTCAGATTTCCAGGACCCCAAAATACGAGGGGCGATCCAAAAGTTTCTGCCCTGAGGGAGTAGGAATGATCGGCGAGAGCTGAAACTTGTTTCCCATTCATTCATCCTTTTCAGCAATTTCAAGGGCTAGCAATCGGTTTTAGGTGCACAAGTAATTTTAATAATAATTTGCATATAAGACACGTTTCAGTCACTAAAAATTTCAGTTTCAGGTTATAGCAGATTGAATGCACAGCAATTTTTGTTTTTTGTATTTAGTATTTAAACAGTTCTCATGAAATAAATGTAATAATCCCGATAAAACAGCTCATTCAATAATAAAAATTTTAAGCCATACTTCCTGTGAAGCGACCATGAAGGTGAAACTGACAATGGTTTCTCATCGGTGAAGCCATTTCTGGGTTTTTATTTGACTGTGGAAAATGAAAATTTCTCAATAAATTTGAAGCATTGTTCCAACGATCGGACCAGCATTTGCGTCCAGGGAGGTAATGCTGAAAAATAAAACTTTTTGAAACAGTCTGTCACATTCTCTTATACCTCAGGGTAGAAACTTTTGGATTATCCCTCGTATGTCAGTATTGAAGATTACAGTAAGTTATACGAGTCATATGAGCCCATGTTTGCGCCTGAAGGATGTGCTCCTTCACCCTGAAGGACGTCCAAGGGCACTCTAGATCCATCTACATATAATGAAAATAAATTCTCAACTCTCATTATAACAGTGAAAATAACTCATGAAAACTGGTTATATTCTGAAACGGAAAATGAAAATTTTCTCCTTGCCACACTAACACAAAATCAACCAAGCTGTGATCAGTTGAAAAACTTCAAGTTTGCTTCATACAACTAATTTTCATTCACGTTCGCACAGAAAACTGCACGTAAAGCACCTCGCTCCCAGCGCTCAAAGCTCTGTCAGCTGAGGCATGCTGCTTCTCGACCCCTTCCTCTTCCCCTCGTCTTATGATATTGAAGAATAAGTACTTTCATCGGCAGCAACAACACTACTTTTTGGTTTCATTTGGGTTCATCTTCCTGATAAGGTGCACACGGAAAAACTGAGAGAGTAACGGTCGGAGACGGATGGAATCCATGTATTACAATGGGGCAATGTTGTGTTTTTCCTCGGCAGCCGCTTGGAGCACTGCCTGCACATCGACATCCATGTTGATACGCGGAGTGCAAGCGTGCCGCTTCCGAGTTTCCAGTCCTATTCTATTACTGGTCCTTGGTGGCACCGCAGTTTTTTATTTCCGTCAATGACTTCCATTAGTGATGGAAGCCATAACTAACGCATGCACACGCAGTAAAGTCGGAAAGGAGACTAGTCCAAAGCATGGATCCAGCTTCCCTGACTTCCCCTGACCCCTTTCGCGCCAGAGCATCAAATCGGGCGTTATCATTCTGCGAGTGGTTTGTCATGGCCTTTTGTTTTGACTACTTGGTGATTCCATCTACCTTCCTTTGCAGAGGTAACAACTACGCACGCAAACGATGAATGGACATTACGTCCGACGGATATGCGTCACGGACGTATGGAGATCCGCTGGATGTACTCCATAAGTTTTTTAAGCAAAAAATTTTCATGGACTTGAGTATACTGTACACCAGGGGTGTCACACTGGGGGCCTGTGGACCGGATCCGGCCCGCCAGTCCATTTTGTCCGGCCCGCGAATTCCTCTTCAACAGTCGGTTACGGAAAAGTACTGCAAATTTCAGCCTGTCTGCATAAAAGATTAGGTGTTAGGCTTTTATTGTGACCCCTAATCACCCCTGAAGGCTTCCATCCGGCCCTCAGCCTTATCGAGTTTGACACCTCTGCTCTACATAGTACTTTAAATGGAATTGCCTCGTTTGACTTGGAAAAGTTAAGGGAAGCTATTTCTTTTAGCCATTTATACGCAGGGAAAACGGATAAGTCTCTCCTGGGAAATAGAAACTCGAAGTTCGTGCACATAGTGGGCGCATTCAGTTGTGACCCTGGTCCTGACTAGAGGTTCATGATTCTCGGCAGGTGCGGCGCTTTTCAAAAACTATTATACCCTGGATTGATGACATTCCCAAGAGGTGTCACTGTGGAGTAAAATTTATTTTGAAGTCTCAATGCAAGCGTTGAACTGAGACCCTCGAGTCATGATTCGGGTCACAACTGAATGCGCCCAGTACAGGGTATGTGTCTCGTTAGGTCTGTATTCTTATATCCCAAATCCCCCTTCACAGCCTCTTAATACGTACGATGCTCCTCAACGCCAAGGTTGATGCGAGCTTATCCAGTCAAGGCTACCCATGAAGTCTCCTTGAGCTGGATTTCCTCTCTTAGCAAATGTATTAATCGAGTCTAATTCCTTCCCACTTCTTGCACGCGGGAAAATATCGAGTTCAGGATGAGACCGACCAGGGAACCATCCATTAACATCGGGGAGTCGAAATGCGTTTAGTGGCGAGTTCAGTGCGACCTTACCGATATTGTGGAAACTTTATTTTTATTGAAGGAGCAGATGGCAGGCCAGATTGAAGGCCTTCCTGTTCTTGGCCGTCATCCTACAGTCGTTCACAGCACATCCACCCTGGCCTTTATCGCGTACGTCCATCACATGTCCACTGGACAAACCTGAGGAGAAAAAGTTTTTACCCTGGACTCGAATCCCGGTCTCCTGCCAGGGAATCACACTCGCTACGAATCAAGTTCCTCTCTTGCTTCGAGTGATTTCTGCTAGATATCCACCGTACCTATGAACATGCATTTGAACGTGAGGATTAAATGCGAACGTACATGAGAAGTCACTGACAAATTTACTTTTAAAATGAATCATGAACTCTATAAGATATCAGAATTACGAGGGTTGATCCAAAAGTTTCTGCCCTGACATACCGCCAGGGCTTGCGTTTATGCGCAAATGTACGTCCTATACGCACAAAATTCCGAAGGGACGCACAACTGAAAAATATCGGGGTCCCAGGGACGCGCGGGAAATTTCCAGATTTTCTTACTGGTTTTCAGGCCAGTTGACAGTTGCCTCTTGGAACCGTGCCTTAATAAATCCGTGCGCAACCTTATTAGTGACAGGAAGGAGGAAGGGGGGCGGGGGTCGAAGCGAAGTCCTTTTCGAGGAAGGTGTGCGCGACGTGAAAGTGATGAGAGCAGCGCATGTTGCATTGGGTTCACGCGCTCATGACGTATTTCCGTTCGTTTCAATTAAGGCTTCGGGGCGGTCGGGACCAACACCCTTCTCGTTCGGCTTCAAGCGGAAAATGTACAATGTTAGTGTATTCGAATCACACGTTGGCATATGTTCAGGTGTTCCTGAACATGGGCCTAGTGCCTCATAAGAAAAGGTATCAACAGCGTAGGTCTAAATTCTAAACGAAGGTGATGTCATCGTTCCACTTAGGGTGCACAGAAAAGGAAAAGTCGCCATAGGCCTTGACCAAGTCAAACCGAAGGGAAAGAAATGAACTTGGGCGGTTATGAAAAAATGGGCAGCTTGTGAACCATGAATCACAACGAAGAATAAAAGTTTAAAAAAGAAGAGGAAAAACGAGTGGGTCATCATGTGTCCCTTGCTTTCCTATGGAGATGGAAGAGTTTCCTGTGATTTCTGCTCCCTAAAAAGAAGAAAGATCCCTACTTAGAAAAGAAAAATCCCTACTTAGCATCTGGGAGTCGTAATATGAAGAAGTATGTAATTTGCAAATTTGAAGATGCCCTAGGGATATTTGTCAAAGAGAAAATGTTGGAAGTAATCCTAAGGCTGCTGGATTGAATATCATGCTTTTGGTTACGTTAAATGGAAGAAAAAACATTGACTGTGGGATTTGTGCAACTCTGCAAGATGCTTCAATTGTGATGGGACCCCCAACTTTTTCTGAGCGACCCTTTCTTATAAGACTTGGAGGATCCTGGTGACCCCTAAGACAAGAAAATTAGCGCAATCCCTTACACCTCATATAAGAAAAAGTCCGAGCCAAGCCAAACCATTTTTATTGTTCATTGTAGTCCCCCTAGATATCAATACATTTCTACCATCGTTTGGGCAAGACGCTTATCCCATTGAAAAAAAATTTTTCTCTAGGTTTTCAAAAAATGCTTCCACAGCACACTTGAGCTCCTCGTCACTTCCATAGCGCTTTCCTCGGATACTTTTTCTCAAATGTCTGAACAAATTAAATTCACTGGGAGCCAGATCTGGAGAATGAGGTGGGTGTGGCAGCACTTCAATGCCACAATCTCGAACTGCTAACAGCTGGCAACTTGAATGACATACACTGGGGCATTTTCATGTTGCAGCAGAATGCCCAGTCCAAGTTTGCCACGGCGCTTCTCCTTTATGCTTTGTCGCTGACATCTCAGCATAGTATGCTCCTGTCATTGTGGTCTGAAGAGGAAGATAGCCTATTTGAATCCCTTCCTGATCCCAGAAAATGGTGGCCCTAAGCTTTCCAGCAGCACCTTGAACTTCCTTGGAGGTGGGGAACTCTTGTTGCACCACGTCATAGACTCTGTTTTTGACTCTGGGTCGTAGTGATCGATCCAAGTCTCATCACCTATCACCAAACGTCGCAGAAGTTCTCTGGGTCAGCCTCATACTGTGTCAGAAGACCTTGGCCTGGATTTCAGGTGTCAGCATCTTTGGCACCTAACGGGCGCAGACCTTGCTGAAGTCTAGTTGCTCGTGAATGACGCGCTCCACGGTTCCATATCTAAGGCCAAGTTCCAAGGAAAGCTCACGAACCTTAATCCGGCAATTTTTACGAGTCGCTCTCTCCAGAGCACGCACATTGTCTTGGGTGGTCAAGTCCAATGGTCGCCCAGTGCGTGGTTCATCAACAATTAAAGTTCTGCCCAGCCTCACCTCCCGGGACCAGTTCTTTACAGTTGTATTGGATGGGCAAGAGTCATTGTACGCTGCAAGCATGCGCTCATGAATTTCCTTTTGTGTCTTTTGTTCTTGGGTTAAAAACTTTATCACAGCCCTGTACTCACTTTTGTCCATTTTCACATTTTACCGCACTTCAGACTATACGTATGGAATAGTCTTAACACTTTCTATAATAGACATGGTTGTTAAAAGTTCTGTTGAACGTGCTTTTGGAAAATTATTGATTGCAGATACGTTTACTGGAGATTTTTATTGTTTTTTTTCCCCCCAGGATATTTCTCAAAACACTGAAGCGAGATTGCGAGTCTTGCAAGCATACTCATTGTTTCTGGCACATTTTGGCTTGGAACTAATCGACAACTCAAGCGGAGAAGTAAGGAAATGTTCGGACTGGGAGTCATGCTGTCAACATTTAATCAAGTGGGTCTTGGCAAATGTGGATCTCCATATCAACTTTCCTTAATTTCTAGTTGGTTTCCATGTTATCTTCTTTTCTATCAACTTAATTCACTCTCTTTCTTTCTCTCTGTCTCTGTCAGCAGGGGAAAGGAGGGGCATCACAGTTTTTTGCAGGTTTCTCGTGTCATGAAGTCCCTTGGTGAATTGGGATACGAAAATCTGAAGCCAGGGTTGGTGAGATTTTTCATTGTGCAATTCCTTGGAAAGCTTGAGGAAGAGAGGCCAAATCGAGCTGCCATCCAGGCTCTCCATGATTACTGGATTCCATTGCTCCGAGATAAACAAGAAAGGCATGCTTGTTGGGAGGAATTCAAGTGCCTTTACTCCAGACAAAAGGTATTATTGGATCATATAGACACAGCAGATTGGTAAAAAAATAATAAGCATAATATGCCGATGATCTGCTTGCTCCTGAAAAGTTTCTCCTCAGAAAAATGTGCAAATGACAGGAAAACCTCATTAATTCGAAATTTAGGGAACTAAAGAGTGCCGAATTCAAAGTAAACGGGTTCGAATTATTTTAATTATAGTCTCTCCTGTCCAACCTTGCCACTCTTTCAATATTCAAAGGAGTTGCTAAATGCCATCTATCACCCTCTCCCCTGAGGGGAGAGAGTGATTTCCTTCCGTCAGACAATGGCGCAACGCTCCTGCGGATCACGTATGAATTATTTTAGAAATCTTGATAAGATGCCTGACGAGTGCCAGGAACACTTAGGTCCGCCACTGATAGCCTCGAGCCCCTTTCCGACATTTTGACTAGCTGATGACAACGCAAACTTAATGAGCTGCTATGAAACGGACAATGCCGGCGTTGCAAAGTTTGACTGGATGGACTGTATAGTCGAGTCGCTGGAAATATGACGAGTTTGTCGGCGAGTTTGACAGGTGACCTGTCATTAGAGGTCTTAAAATGTCAGCTAGTTGACAGCCCCCTCCCCTAATCTTCAGCTTGGGAAAACAGGGTTACCTCAGGCAGTTTTTATTCACAAGAACAGCAGGAGTGGTTGGCGCCTCAGGAATAACACAGGGACGCCACATGATGAAACTGCTTGCATGAGGAGATCGTAATGACAGCGAGAAATTATATATACAGGGTGTTCGTATTTAAACGCAACATAGGAACCTTTTTGTGGCCTGTTTGTGGAATTCGGAGAATGCCTTTAGCTCACTAGGCTGTATATCTGGAAGGATGAAACCTATCCCTGGTGTGTTTCCTTGCAGATATGCAACCCGTTGGGCTTCATTGCGTTCGACGAACTCAACCTACAGGCGGCAAAATATTCCCTATGTTGCGTTTAAATACGAACATCCTGTACAGTACTCGCCAAGACCCATGTGGTATCTGTGTCAGAATGTCGTGTCTTTGACGGAAGGAGTTAATCCCCTGAAAAAGACCGGGGAGACCCTAAATGACTAATTTCTTTTCTTTTCCTTCTACTGCCCATATTCCCAGTGACTCGACTATACCCGTTTTTATTACTTTACATTAACTAATTATGCCCAAACATCCCTTGACTGTTGTAAAACATTTAATGCGTAATAAAGGTTACACATAATATTGAAATGAGACAATATACGGTGTAAGCAAACACGAAGCCGAGAAGGGTCGGTGGGAGTCGAAGTGATATGTCTTCGTATTTAAATGTCTTCGTATTTAAACGTATGTCGAATCCTCCTGGGCTTCAACTTGGTTCTTCTGTGTGTCGTTTACATTGATGATTTAGATCAAGGCCTAGTGTGTAATATCTGTAAATTTGCCGACGACACAAAATAGATTCTCCATCATGGAGGGCGAAGGTAGTGGAGCTTTCGGACGAATAGAGTAAGCAGTGGTTCATGAAACTTCAAAAGAGTATAATTTTTATAATTACCTGGTGGAAGTAGGACCCCCTTTTTTATTTTTACTAATAGTACAACTTGTGTTTGGTGTAGGTGCTACAACTATGAATGAACTGTCATCACTTTGGACTAATAAAATCACAATGTACTTCACTCTGCTTCTGCTGAATATCGATCGGTATCGAATTATCGAAACATATGCCGACGAATGATATATTGCGTCGAAGGACAGTTAACCTTTTGCACTCCACTGTCGCGCCCCACGCGACATAAACAGCACAGTGATGGTGCATGTTGCGCGACAGTGGAGTGCAAAGGGTTAAGTGAACGCGATTGTACACCTTTGGGTGTACATGAAAGGGTCTAGGAATCGGTAGGTTTACGTTGCCGCAGGCTTACAAAGGAGAATACACACCACCTCCGTTTCATTCATTTTGGCTGTCAGGCTGCCTGCATCCGCGCAGCTGTGCTGTAATTATTGACTGAAGTAGCAATAATGTGCGTTGCACTTCTGAATTATGTCTGGATCTATGGTTTCATCACATCCTGTATATCGTGCATTGTCATTGTTCGGAAAGCATGCGCTTTTTTACGTCTTCTTTTCTCAACTCCATAAAGATGACGCAGACAAGGGAGCAATTTATTTCCCATTCCTCCCCCCCCCCCCCCCCAAAAAAAAAGAAGAAAAACATAAATAAATAAAAATAATAATAATAATAAATAATAATAACACCGGAATGAAATTCACATCTTCAAAAGGCGAGAAGTGTTCTTTAAAATCGCGGGGAGACGGGGAAATGGAGCTTCAAATTTGCGGGAGCGATTTTGTGTTGAGAGAGGAAGAAGCATGCCAAATTTCGTTCCTGTTGATGCTCTCAGAGAGGAATATGAGGAGGTTGAAGAAAGCTAATAGGCGCTACCGCGCCTATTGATTGTCGCATTTTCGGCTGTCGGAAGATGTAAAAAATGCAGCGGGAAGTAATAGTAAATGTAATGTCCATTTGAAACATGTGCATTTTGCGATCCCATCATCTAAACTGAATGAAACTCGGTGAATGTAAGTTTAATTGTAAGGTTCAATTACTTTGTGTTATGTGACGTCACTGCCAACTTTGAAGTGATCAGCGACGAATAAAGGGAGATTCAAAGCTTTCCTTAAGATTTCCCTTTGAGTTTTTCTTACGCAATCACTTTTTAATTGCAACTCTAAGAACTGTTTGTTGACGCCAAAAAATCATTTGGCTTCCCTCCCTCCAAAATAAATAGACCCATGGGGTGCTGTGCATACCAAATATCAGCTTTCTGTATATGCACATTTCGCTGGAACGAATAAGTTTTGGAGAAAAAAGAAACATTCCCTCAAAATTGCGTGCTCAGGGGATGTTTGCAAAAGTAAGAATTTTCCTGAAACCAGCAACCCAAGAACTACATGTACTTGGTATACCGAACTTCAGCTCTCTGTCAGCATCACTTCGCGTATGGACACTGCTGGAACAAAGAAGCTTTAGGGAAATAAGCTATGACCCCAAAAAGTTTTAGCCCCAGGGGATATTCCCCTACAATAGTATTTTTTTTCTCAACTCAGCAATACTCCAACTAATTGTGCCCCAACATTCAGCTTTATATCTTATCGAAAACATGATCAGAATTTGCGTCAGTCAGTCGCTTACTCACACAATTGTCTATATACAGGATATGGCAAAAAAATTACCAATGACTTTTTATCTAAATATCGCCGCTCACATTGGAGCTATTTTCGTGATACTTTAAATTTGCATGTATGAGCATGTTCCCAACGGATTCGCAAAATTTCATCCGAATTTCTTGATCTGGCGCAATATTACCATCAAAATATTGAAAAGAAGTTGGACATTGAGAATGAACGAGAGCTCCTGCTGGTAGTGGGAGAGGAGGAAACACTCGCGCTATCCTTCCTGGTCATCAAGACCACGTCAAGCTCCTCTTCCGTTTAAGTTTAATTCATTCATGGGACTGGTTGTCTCTTGCAGATGGTTTTCACGAGCCTATTCTCAATGATTAGTACAGGGTGGGCCAAAAGCCCCTTTACGCTTAATTTCTGCATAGTTGTTGAGATGATTTTTAAAAATGTACCGTTGGACCTGGCGCAGAATTCAGTTGTGCTTAAAACGTGATAGGACACACAGATCCACTGGACTATGATTTAATATTTTTTTGTTTAACATATGTTTTAGCTATTATTATGTTTACTAAGTGTTAATGGAGTGTAAAGGGATTTTTGTAGATATATCAATGAATACCAATCCAGAGAGTTTTCTTAAAATTCGTCCGAAATTCCCTTTGTTCTTATTTAATCTGATGGTACTGTCCATCTCAAATGTCAGACTTGTCATAGGTATAATATCGTTTATAACTTTGATATGAATTAATGGACTTTTGCAGCCGTGTTGACAGACTCTCAAATATTGGGTCGATTGGAAAGTTCTGGCCGTTTCGAGAACATTCCATACAACCGAGTTTTTATTTTTTTAAAGCAAAAAGTTGATTCAACGAAGTAATCGCCATCACATTCAATCACCTTCTGCCAACGATCAGGCAGACTCCTGATTCCATCCCTATAGAACTGCGCTGGCTGTGAGTAAAAAAAAATTAGTCAGCCAGTTTTCGACCTCGGCGTCATCGTTAAACCTTTTCTGGCGAAGATCCAGAGCACTGAAGAGATGGTAGTCGGTTGCCGCCAGATCTGGGCTATACGGAGGGTGAGGCAGAACCTCCCAGCCCAGATCCAGCAGTTTCTGCCGTGTGATCTTCGTGACATGCGGCCTTGCGTTGTCGTGCAGGAATCGAACATGACGGTGCCCTGGCCTCACCGTGCGGAGTTTGTTGGCGAGCTTCTGCAGCCGATCGCAGTAGTAGGCGGCTGTGATGCTGGTATCGGGTGGGAGCAGCTCGAAGTAGATCACAGTAGCAGTATATGATCAGTAGTAGATCATATACTGCTACTGTGGAAGGTTCGAGAAAGTTGCAGAAATTTTTTTCCTGGAAAATTCTCGAAACGGCCAGAACTTTCCGATCGACCCAATAAATGAAAAAATGCTACATCCTTAGCAAGTTTGACGATATATGACTTAAACAACCATGTGATACACTCAAAGTTGTTTTATCTATTTTTGTCATATCCTGCAGACTCAGGCTGACATAAAATCAGGAAAATTTTAAAAGTATGTTGAGAAAACTCTCTGGATTCTTATTCATTGATTCACCTTCTATTGGGAATAAGCTCATGGGAATATTGGGAATAATAGAGTGTGATCCATTTAAAACGCTACCCAAAACGCAAGTACAACAGCAATAAAACAAGACAAACGAGATATTTGATAGTTTTTATTTGTTAGGAAGAATATTACAGGAACGTACAGAACAGCTCCACAGCAAATGCTGAAAATGTCCACCACCTTCTTGAAGACAAGACAAGACAAGACTTCATTTTTGTATAGTAGTACGTGATTGTTGTTGAGTTGCGTTTTAAATGGAACACAATGTATAATTAGGAATAAACTCATGAAAGCCATATTTAAGAGACAAACCAACCCAGTGAATGAATTTAAACGGAAGAGGAGTTCGACGTGGTCTTCGACTAGAAGGGGCAACATTCGAATCTTTCCTCCGCTTCCGCTGCCAGCAGGAGCTCTCGTCTATTCTCAATGTCTAACTTATTTTCAATTATAGCTGATAATATTGATTTGGATCAAGATATTTGGATGTTATGAAGCGAATCAGTTGGAAACATACTCACCCTAGCAAAGTGAAAGTTTAATGAAAATAGCTCCAGTGTGAGCGGTGATATTTAGATAAAAATTCTAATTTTTATTATTTTATTTTATTTTATTTTATTTTAATTTTTTTTTACCATACCCTGTATATGTTATAATGGAGATCCCATTTACTCCAGGACGGAGGGTGTCCATTTAGCATGGTGAATGTTGTTGGGGAAATTTGATCCCCTCTCATGAATTCCAAGAGCCATGAGCCATTAGCCATGCTTCAAGAGCCATGCCCTTTTGTGTTCGTACTGTTTGCCATGATAGTGTATGCATCTTGAGCATGTAAAATATGCCTGGTAATTGAGGCTGGAGTATATTGTGTAAGACATCTTGCTACTTGATTGCTATTTAAGAATATGCAGCTTCCCCCTATCTTTGATGTGAGTACACAAAAAATAAGGGGGTTCCCACTTGCCCCGGGTGTCCCACTTACACCAGGCATACTCTTAGGTGGGACATGCATTGAATATTTATTGGTCGTTTCAGTGTTGCTTTGGTAGTAGGACTTTTGACTGACTTTTAAGATGTCGACCATGCCGAAGGTTAGAGACTCAGAAGAGTTCGGGATGCAGTAAATTAGATGCTTTGGAGCGCTAACAGATGAAAAAGAGCTTTAAGACCTGAATTATTGCTAGTTCAGGCTGATGTCTCATTTCAAACGAGAGGTGAATGAATGTTGAGATTTTTCAAAATTGAGCGAATTTGATTGTATCCACACTTGGATCTCAAATCAGCTGTGATATGATGATCGGTATTGTGCGGAAAGCAAAATATCACTAGGAAGAAGTGGTGATCTTGAGATTTTTTTGGTTAGCCATTTTAGTCAGCTCCTAATTGTTCATATGACCAATTAAAAGCTGACTAACCCATACTGCCAGCCAGACTCTGGCTGGCAGTATGTACTAATTCCTCATCGTACTCTATTCTACTGTCTGTCCTTTCTAGAAGGCAATCATTGCGACTAAAAATTGAATAAAATCGTCGTGCCATTGCGCCCCATTGTGCTAGGGCAAATCAAGCTTTGCAGCGTCGGATTTCTTTTTGTCTTAGCCGTCCAGTAGGTTTCACTGCCTTTTTATGTCATGACCGACTTATTGCCCTTTATTATATTTTCTTTTCCGCATTTTGTTGTAATCATAGGCCCTGGGAAGGATTTTAATTTTCTCCCTGTCCTGTCACTTACCAAGTATCGAGAACCCACGAATGGCCTGATAGCCAGGTAGCCTGAACGTATAATTGCAGGCGAAGTCTCTTCCAATGAAGAGGGAGAGAGCAGAGGGAGATGGGGAAGGATCGAAGTTATTCCATCGCCTCGGAAGCATTCGGAGTTCACTCAGGTTGGATTCGGCGTCGTCATCCTCGTCTCGGCGAATGGGAGCCGAGATGCTGGATGCGGAGCGAGCACTTACCTCCCATCTTGTTATGCAAGAAACTCTTCGAGTTCAAGCACGGGAAGGAAAGGGAGATCCCGATCTCATCCCGTGATCCCAATCCCTGAACGTGACCGTTGTGATCATCATCGTGCCTATCTGGCTATTGCGTCTTCCACTGCCTGCCTCTGACAGTCCTTTCGTTTTCTGGCTGCCCTTCGTCACTCCAATACTTTACTCTCCATGTATCAATAAATTCCGATATCGACTCCTGAAGCACGAATGTGTAAATCCTTCTCTACTTAAAATATTTATTTATTTTTCCTGCTATATCAACACGTCCAAAGTTCCAATCGATTGATGCCCATATGGATGGCTGAAAACGGAACAGGGACTCAGGATTTATTAGAGACGAATTCTTTGACATCAATTTCATTTTTCGCATATGTAAAATTTTTGGAAGAGGGTTAACTTGCATGGAGAACCTATCCTAGTGAAATTGGGGGTGGAGCTGTGACATTTAGAGTTCCTGGAATCGCTATATACTCGCAGGATCTATCAGCCAATCCTTCTCCTCTGCGCATTCAAATGGCAGAATTGCTGATGCTGAATGACCATCTGAAGATCCATATGCCACTTAACCCACAGCTCAATAATTCGTCCGATTCCGGAAGCCGGGATTGTGTCTTCCAGCTTGTTATCGAGAGATATTTTATAAATGTTTTTAACGCTTATTTCCTAGTAGGGTAAACTTACCCTGAGTGGCAACCTATGTGGCACGGCAGCATTGAATAGACTTTTATATACCTAGATTTGTCGACCTAGAAACGTTGAGTAAACGTTGAGAGAATACGTTGGCTCCACGTGGAAATGGGAACACCATCCCTGTGGATTAAACGTAGATATCTCAAAAATTTTTCTGTGACTTTTTGCAATGACTCCTTCCCTCTTAGAAATTCGCAAGCAATACAATCCATCAAAAAATTCTCCAACATAATTTAGCCATTTTAGACAATTACTCCTCATTAATATTTCCAGAATGCCAACATGAACCACAACCAAAGAAATCACATTTTGCTCTTAGAGCAGGATTCATCATATGATGACGCATGTAGCTCCAGCTTCTCACACTCATATACCCTAAACATTAATCACTATGAGCTGCAAAATTAAGAAAACAGGGTTACTTAAAAGTGACATTCTTAAATCCAGAAGTTAATATTCCTGAAGGGGCATATTAAATGTGTTATACAAAGTATAGTAAAGTTTACAGCTGTTGCACTTCTATTATGAGCACATTGAGGATCTGTACACTCATGTATTCCAATGAGCCTTTCTGGATTACTTAAATAGGTAATGGAGAGCTGCAAGGATTTACTTTTAACTCCAGTTTGCCCATTCAGCTCTTCAGATTGTAATAACTTTGCACCTCCATATCAAGAGGAAAAACTGAAATACTCTAATGCTAGATGAGTGGGGCAATAATTCCCTCATACTGGACTGCCCATAAGTAAGTTATGTTTCCTTTCTCTTGAAAAATTGTATTTAAAATGTAACTGAGACAAATCATACAGAAATTGAATTGAATTGCTGGGGGTTTATAGAGTAGCAATAACAATATTTTTGGATAGCAACAGAATTTTTAGAATAAAAACTCCACTCGTATCAAAGAATTGAATGACCACCCTATAAGTATTTCACAAGACACTCCTGTGATTCCACCGAATGATTTTCCAGGATCAAGATAATATGGTGATTCTATTCACAGGAAAATGGAGCATGTAGAATAGGGAACTTTCTTAACCAAAAACTCCTTGAAGGATTGAATTGGAATTAAAGACTAATTCAAGCATCTCGAGTATTTGAGAGATCTCAAGTCTAATGGATCATTAAATATCATAGCAACCTAGACTTACATTACATATTACTTATAAGTAGATCAGTTATAACTTTCTAAGATAGAGAGAACATAAAATTTTGTCTATCAAAATCTTGCAATTTATTATTATTACATCTTCTCACATCAGAAGAGAGTTGTCAGAATAAAGGTTTCAAACAGGCCTACATGCAAGAATGGTGTCCCCAAAAAAATATGCCCGCCAGTGGAGTTTGGAAAAATTTTTGGAGACCGTGACAGCATTACACTTGCCATCTACCCTCGTACATTTTCACCCAAGTTTCACATCAAATCGACGTATCCGTGCCACACGAGAAGTGACCATGTGTCGCAAGTTCATCAAATGAGCTGATATATTCGGTTAACTCTGAAAAATACGTGTTTGGGGGGCTGAAAAAAAGCAACTGTACCTACCTGCTACCAAACGACGTCAGATACGAGGGCCACTCAATAAGTTATCTACCTGAATATGAAAGGGAGTGGCTCAAGTCCGTTCAAAGTGGTAGCGCATTACATTTCTTTTCCTGAGTCTGTGTCATGGATTTGACGAAAGTCGAACATCGTTCAGTGATGAAATTCCTCACCAAAGAAGGGAAAGCACCTAGGGAGATTCATGAACGTATGTTTAACGTTTATGGTGTCTTCGCCTTCTTATTACCAAGTTAAATTTTGGAGCAAGCAGTTTAAGTGGGGAAGAGAGTCAATTGAAGATGACCCAAGGTCGCCCCGCCCTGTGGAGGCTTCTGATCAGGAAATGTGTGACAAATTGGAGAGTGCGATACTGGAGGATCGTCGCACCAAAGTCTCTGTTTTAGCTCATGAACTGGGGATTTCAGAGGGCACAGTGATTCACATTATTCATGAAAAATTACACATGTCCAAAGTCAGTTCTCGATGGGTCCCAAGAATGCTGACTCCAGCTCAGAAGAAGAATAGATCTGACATCTGCAAGGAAAACTTGGAGTTTTCTAAACAAATCGGGGAAACTTTTTTTCCCAGAATAGTAACTGGTGATGAAACTTGGGTTCATCACTGGGATCCCGAAACCAAGCAGGAGTCCATGCAGTGGAAGCACAAGGGATCGCCAACGCCTCGCAAATTTCGTGTTCAGAAATCTGCAGGAAAGATTATGGGCACTGTGTTTTGGGACAGCGAGGGACTACTGCTGCTTGAGTTCATGCCAGACAAGTTTACAATCACTGGCGATTCCTATGCTACCACCATGAAAAATTTACATGATGCCATCAAGGGAAAACGCAGAGGAAAGTTGTCAAGGGGGGTCCACAAATCATGGAAAGTTGAGGCAGCAGTGAGGGAGTGTGGCTTTCAGGAGCTCAACCATCCTTCCTACAGCTTGGATCTGGCTCCTAGTGACTATTTTCTGTTCAGACACTTGAAAAAATTTTTGCCGGGAAAAAGATATTTATGCAATGAAGAGCTGAAAGTTGCCGTTTCTGATTGGTTTGAAGGACAAGAAGTTGACTTCTATTCCCAGGGAATAAAATCCTTGGAATCAAAGTGGAATAAGTGCGTTGACTTAAAAGGTGACTACATTGAAAAATAAAGTGTTATAATTCCCCTCGGATGTTTCTTTCTTATTCAGGTAGATAACTTATTGAGTGACCCTCGTATAAGCGGAAATATTTCTATTAATCTTTATTTCCTTTTCCATAAGAGGATTTACTTTCCATTCCGAAAAATCGCTTTACAAGTACCATTGCACACGTAGGTTCTATTCACAGCATTAATTAAAAGCATCGCTCAGCAATTAAAAAAATTAGTAATTAAGCATCGCTCTTCTTGCAGCGAAACTATTATCATGTGTTTCAAACAGTTCTTCCCAATTCCTTTCAAATTCCATCCCCAGTCAGCTTTCCGCGCTGTCGCAGTGATTGCCATGTCATCCTTGCGTCAATTTACGTAATGGTTTAATGGATTCACATTTATATAAAATATGAAACGACTCACTACTCCACTGAGCCCTGAAGGGCATGTCGGCCTGGAAAGTCTCGAAGTCGGTAAGGGGTCTATTTCGATTATTTTCGCAGTGTAATGTGATTCAAGCTCATTACCCAGTGATACTTGGTTGAATAATGAAAGGTTTGCTTCACTAACTTGAGTACTGTGAGGATTTTTCCGAATCGTGATCCGTTGGAAGGCGTGGTAAGATAAGACAAAGCCATTTATCGCCGCTAACGGAATCCGTTCCCGCGGAGATTCCCTTTGGTTTTCACTCTGGGAGGTCGCGATCCCCTGCACGCACAATTTGAACGAGCGGATCTTTGAGCAGGCTCATGAACATCCTTTCTCGAGTGCTCTAGGGGAAGTTGGCTGGCTGGTAAATGCGGNCGTATTCGGAGGAATTATTTTCCCGGTCTGCTTCTTGGCTGTCCATAGACGTTCCTAACCCCGTACGTTAGAATATTGAAGAACATACTTTGATTTTGACAAAGGGATGCCCTTTTGACCGCCGGACGCATAGATATGAGAAAAGAGCGCAGCGTTTTGCGGATCGTACGTTATGAAAAATGTCCATTGAGGTATGAAATAGGGCTTTAGCAATTGGGAAAAACTGTAAGGACCGCAGCTAATGGTCGAAATACATTAGTTCTAAAAGTTGGAAGACCGAAGGAACTGAATGCAGAATACATCTAAAGGTTTTCTAAGAAATATGACTAAGGAAGGTCAAATGTATCTCTGTGCTGTTTGGGTGCGTCAAGAACGACATAAGGAAAGTCAAATGTGTCGCTGTGCTGGATGTCGGATTTTAGGGAAAAGCTTGTTCGGCATAGGGAAAGTCAAATTCGACAGTTATGAGACTTGAGGCCTTGTCTCTTGGTCGTGCTCCAAGAAAGATTCCCTCTCCGTGCATTTCCGTAGCAAAAATATTAAAATGCAAATTCGCAAGTGCATGTGCATGCGGTTTCACTATTCCATTTACCATGCGGACAATGTTTGATTTCAATCCATGAGAGTGAAAACTGTAGGTTGTATTCAATAGAATCCAAGATTCATGGAAAGAGATAAAACTTCTCATGCAATTCAAATGTGAGACTCATGATATTGGATTCAAAGAGTTCCTCATCCCATCAGGATATCAGGTCATCGGGAAACGATGTTGTTAAATGATGGTGTTAAATGAGAAGTTCAAATTGCATCCTGGACTATGAAGAGAAGTATATTTGCCATGAAATCAACGGTTTGATTTTGAGAGTATCATAGTTTACATCACAATATCACTCAACTGTCACATTTGACTTTCCTTGTCGCATTTGGCTTTCTTACGTCCATATTTGCCTTAGAAAAGCTATATAATTGCTTGAGAAGGCAATTGGGCAACATGCGTGATGTACACCATGAGAATAAAAATAAATTCAAGG